ACAAATCCGAACCATCGTGCCTTGCTCAATGCAAGCACTGAGAGGCATCACAAAAAACTTGGCCTGTGTTCCTTGATTCAACGCTTGGATGCGCCGTTTGAAGATCGCGTAAGTATCCATAGTCTCTTTTTTTTTCTTTTTTAGAGCTTCCTCTATAGATTGGTGGTACAGGCAGATTCGCTCCTGCTGCCACAGTGACAGCAGCCTGTTTTGTTGGTCGATTTTCCGGTGGTTGTGCTGCACCTTGAGCGAACGCGCCTGCAAGTGAGGCTGGACAGCCTCGGCCAAGCTCTCGAGTCTCTGACCATAAATACCAACCGCCCTTTCCGCCTCTCTCAGCACCTCGTACTGTTCCTCCAGGTACTGGCGATGCTCGTCCATTTGACGCCGCATCTCCTATTGCTGTTCAAGCAGAGCTGTCTGTCGGTCGTTCGGCGCTTGTAAGTACTCTGAAGTATGTGCAGCAAGTTGATCTTGCTGACGTTGCACCTGGCCGATTTGCTCGGCAGCCCTTTGATGTGCTGCCGCTGAATGATGTGCCAGGGCTTCTACTTGACGTCTCGTATCACTCCCCTGAATTACCGCCGTCCTGGTAGTCGTCTCCTGCGTCAGCCGCAGTTCGTCCTCGGTCATAGGAGGCAGTGGGGGGGGGGGTAGACTGCGATGGGCATCCCGCCGACGGAGACATGTACCATCGCTTCGTCAGGTTCTTCCATACTGGGCGCCACTTCCCAGCTAAAGAACTCTTTGTTGTGTCGCTCCAATGAAAATGTAGAAGTAAAGATGTATTGAGCTTCTTGGTAATATACCCTATTCACTCTCATTTCGTATGCATGCTCCGTGAGAGGTCATCAGTTTCACAACTGCCTCTGTAGTTGCAAGTTCTCGAGTGTTGGTGTTGTTGGCACAATCCCAGCAACGACAGCGCTCTGTAGCTACTGCTACAACAATCAGCTTATATGTTCCATGTATTATTCGATGTATCCGCTGTCGTGTGTTTTTGAACTTCTAAAGCAACAACAATCGTCGAGTGCAAATAGAATAAAAGCATGGTTGCTAAAATGAAATAAAGTATCTAGGACGGATTTACACCAATTATTACCATATCTTAATTGAGGCAAAAGACTCGGAGCACTTCGGTTGCTCACCTAGATAGGATATTCGGATGTTCGACGACGAGATGTTCAAGTTTCGATAGGCAACGTCATTTCAAAGACGAACACAATCATGTTTGTAATTTTTGTGACTTGCGGAAGATGTCTGAAGAA